GAAGGACCTACCACACGCAAGCGACCTGGGCGGAGGTGAGTAACTCAGAGTGATCGCAGAGTGGGGACGCACCAGCCACTTCGTCTTGGCGGAATCATTCGGGAATCGAGTGCTGTACAGATACGTTTGCGTTGTCGTCACTCCGAACAACACATACGAGAAGAGAACACCGACTAGCAGTGCGCCTGGAGGGTTGTCAATCAAACATAAAAATATAGACATAAAAAAGAGGGGAGGTGAAGTAAAGAACACAGGCACCACCCAGCGTGCTATCGGTGTCGAACGAGTGTGAGGGGGGGAATGAGTGTTTTGGCGGCATGTTTGCTGTGGGTAGATTAATTCCTCTGATCCATATACTTATCCTAGCTCAGGCGTAGGAGTGGGATGGGAAGGAGGGACTCGCGATGCAATATCTGCCAGATATAGGGAGCCTGAGGAGCATTCTGCAAATTGAGATGGAGCGGCACTTTGATGCATCTGCTGCAGCACGCGTGTAAGGGGAAGGGGGAGATCCAGGCTCACTACCAAACTGCGAACCAGTCCATCGGAGATCAGGTATCTAGGTAGGCAAGGTGGAAATTAAAAAACTCAACGGTGACTCGAAATGAGGTGGTCTATTTTATCGAGACCTTTCGGAGTACCGGATTTATATTTTGAAAGCAAAAAGACTCAGAGAGTGCCGAGCGATGAGCAAGGTAATTGAACGTATATAGATCTCACGGCGGCACAAAAGCATGGGGCAGACCCCCGTCAAATGATAATCATGGGCGGTGGCGAGGACTGCAGTGCCTTCAGAAGACAGACCAATAATAGCCCATTGACCCAAGTAATATGTAGCACGGTGTTCCGAGGTGGCCGTGAGCAGCCTCTTCCTTCAAACTAGTTGCGAGTCCGACACGAAGGTTTACAACAAGCCTCGGAAAGACTGCCAGTAACCAGCTCGGACTCGGAGAGTACCCTCAGGCGGCTGAGAACATACGAACAGCGGATCCACAGAAGATCTTTGAATCAATTTAACAGTTTTGGCATGTCGTCGCCGCCACTGAATGGCAGGAGCCAGGTCCGAGGAAGATGAACAAAAAGTACAGGTTGGTGGTTACTAGGTGGCGGCGTGGCGCAATTGAGCGCACGCCGGAAGTGGCGGTGCATCCGACGTTGTTACATCTCCTTCTTGTTCCTCTTACGGTTCAGTTGCCAACGAATTAGGCCCCGCCGGGAAGCTCCTGCGGAGGATTGCCCGCAAAAGTTGCTTTTTGAGGGCGAAAAACCGCGATTTCCTTGGCTTTTTCAGACCGAAATCCCTCAGCCGTTGGCTTTTCAAGTTGGAGCTGGATTTGACAACTTCACCTCGCCGCTATCTTTCGATTAACGCCCCGGGAAGCTCCTGCGAAGGATTGTCCGCAAAGTAGCTTAAAAATCCGATTTTCCTTGGCTTTTTCAGACCGAAAAGTTTGGCTTTTCAAGTTGGAGCCGCCGCTAGTATCTTCCGAAATCTGCCGGCTTTTCGGAAATGTCACTGCCCTATACCATTAATTGAATCCGGGTGTACCCCTCGGCTGCGGAAAGAAAATCCCATTTTAGCGCCTGCGACTCGACCACCTTCAAGTCGCCCGACATGGCTTTTTCGATTCAGCCCCCAACTGGCTGACCCCAATGTGTGGTTTTTTCACGCTGAATCGGCAGCTGGACAATTGCAATTATTGCAGGAGCTTTCCCGGTCCCGTCTAGGCGCCGTTTTGTTTTTCCTCCCCAGATTTCTGGATTCTGCCGTATCTGGCCGAGTCTCGACCCTCTTCCAAGCGACTTATAGGCAGTCTCCGATCGTTCCCGGTCTATGTAGTGGTGCTACACCACCGTTTTAACACCTCAAATCCGGGACATGTCAGATCAGCGTCTACCTCCCGCTCTACCTCCCCAATTACAATAACCACCTCCTGCTTTTCGCGGAGGCGCCTAACTCCGCATAACGTCCCGTCCCGTCCCCGCCCACGCGTCGTTGTATATGAACAACTCGGTCTTGGCCCTTGGTCCCTCCTGTAGAACTTGCAGCGTCCGTCTCCCTTTCCAATCATAAAACTCGTGCACAACAACAATGGCAACTATAAAATAAATACAACAACAAGCATCTATGTATGTCTGTCTGTCTGTGAGCAGGCACATATTTATGTATGTGAGCAGTGTCCTCTAGGTCTGTCATAGATATCGATACGCGATACGCCTCTTCGCGCACGTATGCTCCTCTTCCTTCTTCGCGTACGGTCTAATGATCATGATAGACGGTCCATAGACTTAAGTCTATGTCGCGCCACCTTCTACACACCCGGTGCCCGACACCAGCACGAGCACGCTTCCCCCGCTGGGAGCGTGGCGTGGCGTACCCTGGCCCCGGCCCCGCGCAGACGACGCGCCCTCTACCGCCTGCACGAGTCTCGAGCCCACGCCTGCACGCGCCTCAGCCCCACCTCGCGCACCCGCGACGCACACATACGCACATCCCACACACACCCCACGGCGCACACCTCTCCCCCGCGGCGCGCCTACACATATGCACGAACCCCGCCCACCACGAGCTCACCCCTCACACCCTCACCAACCTTGAGCTCGCGCGCGCCTGTACAGGCGAGAGCCGCCCGGAGGTGGGCGTGAGCGGGGACGTCGGGCGGGCGGTGGTGGTGGTGTTGGGTAGGGGACAAAGTGCTCGTAGTAGGGGACAAAGGGCGCACAGAGACGGGTGACAAAGGCCGGACAGACACGGGGACAAAGGGCGCACAACGAGGCGCGGGGAGTGCGGCTGGCGTCGGACCGGAGACAGCGGGGAGGCGGATAGCGGGGAGAGTGATGGTGGGGATGAGGACGAGGGTTTGCCTATCGACTTTGCCTTGGCTTTAGCGTTGGGGGGCGGGGACGCGGGTGGCGTGGGGAGCGCGAGCGAGGCGGGGGGCAGGACGAGTGCGGGCTCGGGCTCGAGCTGAGGGGCCGTGCTTCCGCTTCCTCACCTCATCATCATCATCCTCCTCGATCTCCACCTCGATATCGTTAATGAGCATAAAGCTCTTTTTCTTCTTCTTCCCCCCGCCCCCAATTGCATTCGCACTTGCACCCCGCCTCCCTGCGCGGCGCAGCACCCGCGCGCTCCCCGTCCCCGAGCATATCCCCGATCGCGCGCGTAGTCGTACGCGCTCGAGCCGAAGGGCGGGGAGTACGCCGCGGCCTCGGCGGCGCGGTACGCGTGCTCGTACCCGCGCGGGTGCTGCTGCGCGGCGGGGATGGGGCGCGGGCGCAGCGAGGCGGGGAGGACGCGGTCGGGCTCGCCGTCGGCGGCGGAGCGCGCGGGGGGGTAGGCGTACGAGGGGAAGTACGAGCCCGGATCCGCGTTCGAGGCGGACGGGGTGCTGGGCGGGGAGGGGGCAGGGGAGGGCGAGGAGAGGAGGGGGAGGAATGCGAATGCGGGTTTGGGCCGGGGGCGGCGGGCGGGCGGGCGGAGGTGGGTGAGGGAGGCGGAGGCCATGCGCGGGGGGGCGACGGGGCGCGCGCGGCCCGGGGGCATGACGAAGGTGGGCTGGGGGAGCGCGAATTGGGATTGGGAGGATTGGGGAGGGGTGAGACAGGGGATGTCGAGGTCTCGGGGGCGACGAGGGGGAGGAGGCCAATGGGGACCATCGACAGCAGTTGCTTTCCCGGGCGCAGAGCGTCGCCGGGCTGCGGCGCGTGTGGGAGAGATTGCTGGATTTCTTTCAGCTCGAGGAGCTCTCTGGAAAATAAAAATTAAATAAAAATAAAAAAAACGAGAAAACAGGAATAGAACGAACTGGTAAGAAAGCCTTTTTGCAGGTTCTGTGGGAGTACGGTCCCATTCGTCGGCCCAGTGGACTTCTTCAGAGCCCTCATTGAACGCAACACATTTGCGACAATGTCCCGGATCGGGTGATCCCGGAAGTGATGAACCCTTCAGACAGCTCTTCATTTTCGTAATTTGTCGAAATTGCCCAGTAAAATTATGTAGTGGGCACACAGAGATTCGAAACGGCGAGTCAAAAATGGGGATTTGCCAAGGATTTGCAGCCAAGAAAAACAGAGAGGGGGGGACGAAACAATCAAGTACAGCGAGGCGAGTATTCCCTTGAACCTGGGGGGGAACCTAGGACCAAGGAGACCGGGGACTTGGGTAGAAGATGGTGGTTAGAGACAAGGAGTCGAGGGGGGAGGATGTTTCGCTGCTGTTTCTTTACGTATTTGCATTTTCCGGTGTGTGGTGCTAGAGGCGGCCGGATCAGGTCGGGGCCCCGTGCATGTCGATCATCATCATTTCCACTGCAAGTTTTGCTATTGGTCGCGTGCACCTTTCATTTCGCTCATTTCGCTCCATTCTGTGCTTCGTACTGGGATTCCTACGTTTCGTATTGGCAGTCCTCGCTATACTGCATTTGTGGCTAATATCCCTCCTACGTGCATTTGGCCATTTGCAAACACCCGTCCCCATCGCGTCGTCTCCTCGAGACCGGAGGAAACCGGTTGCCGTCGGCCGAAACACGGCTTCAAGTGCGGATCTATATTCCGAAACGTTTCTAGGTTTCTTTTTGCAGGTACGCGGTGAGAACGGACGTGCCAGCTGCCACTATCGAAGAACTCGTGTCAGCTCGTGTCCAGGGTAATTTTTCAAAGCGTGTGTTCAGTGTATTATCTTTCAACCGCAAGTGACGTCGCGTCGGTGACGTTGATTCTCGTCTACTGTTTACCCGCCCCACTGGTACTTTGTTCTTATTTCAGCACTCCCCAAGACTTTTTCGAGTACCGCGGCCACTCAGCGGGAGTGACCCACATATGCCCACATTTCTTCTTTAGGTTCTTACCCGTCGGCCGACTCGGACTGGATCCTCCCAGGCTAGTCTCGCCCTGCCTGGGTCTCGAACGCGGACGAGAATAAGTAAAATTCGGACTGACGTTCTTCACTGGCCTCAAAGGAAGCGAAAAAAAAATTGAATTCTCCAAACCAGGTTCCAAGCACCGACGGGGAATCGAACCCCAGCTCGCCGTTGGAAAGCCAGATGAAAAGATATTTCATCAGCGTGTGTACCATACACCATCGGCGCTTTCTTGTCTCCTGTAAGCCGTCATTATACTGTGGCTGTATTATACTACGGCGTAAATCCGTAAATCCTACTTAAATCCTTTTCATCAAATTATTGTCGTTCGAATACTGCAGTCAACCACTGGCACTTGAATGATGGTTTCAACACGCCTGATGATTTCTCGATTCCTTCCATGCCCAGCTTTTACCTCACATTATACTAAGCTCTCCAGGACCCCCCGCAAAAAAAAAACTATAATAACACTCTATGCATCGACGGGGAATCGAACCCCAGCTCGCCGTTCTAATGACTGTTAAATGATCCACCCATTCTGTCGGCGGGTGTACCATACACCATCGATGCTTTCTGCACTCTTGAAAATGGTGGACAAGATGGTGGATAAATTTGTTCTGAATCTCGCTGACAAGCGCACCATGAGCAGTGAGCAAAAATTGATGCGGTTAGGAATTCATTCTTTTATTCCTTAAAGTCAAGTCGCATAACCAACAGCGATGTATCACGATCCTAGACTCTCACTCCCTGTCTCTTACTCTTCCCTCTCAAGTCGCTCTTCGTCGAAGAAATAAAATAAAAACATGAACCAATTCGACTTTACGCACCGACGGGGAATCGAACCCCAGCTCGCCGTTGTATACTCGTGATCTTTGACGACTATTTCGTCAGCGTGTGTACCATACACCGTCGGTGCTTTCTTGTCTCCTGTAAGCCGTCATCATACTACGGTATAAATCCTACTTGAACCCTTCAGTCAAATTATATTGTCGTTTGAATTCAATCAATTTGAATCGTAGCTTGAGTTTCAACCAGTTTGATGACTTCTCAATCCATTCCCATTTTCCCGTGGCCTAGCTTTTGCTTCGCGTTATACTAAACTCTCCAGGACCAGCGGGAAAAAAAACCCTAACGAGATCCGGGATGCACCAACGGGGAATCGAACCCCAGCTCGCCGTTGGATTGATCTTCCAAGATTATTTCGTCAGCGCGTGTACCATACACCATCGGTGCTTTCTGCACTCTTAAGAACAGTGCATAAATCTGTACTCTTCGACAAACTAAATCTTGAGCGCATGAGTATCAGGCAATTTAAATTGGCACGGGCAGTCAAATCAAGAATTGATTTTTTATTCTTTAAAGTCAAGTCGCATAACCAACAGCGATTCACCGCAATCCTAGAATCGTACTCCCACCTTGTTTGAGGTCTTACTCTCCCAAGTCATTCTTCGTCGAAGAAAATAAAATGAAAACATGAACCAATTCGACTTTATGCACCGACGGGGAATCGAACCCCAGCTTGCCGTTGTAAGGAGTATCTCTGCTCACATTGTATCGGCGGGTGTACCATACACCATCGGTGCTTTCTTGTCTCCTGTAAGCCGTCATCATCATGAGTGTACATCCTACCTAAATCTGCAGTCAAATTATTGTCGTTCGAGTTTAGCCAACTTGGCTTGAATTTCAACAGGCTGGATGATTTCTCAACCCATTCCCATTTTCCCGTGGCCTAGCTTTTACTTCACATTATAATCAAGCTCTCCAGGACCAGCGGGAAAAAAAGCGCAGCAGTCAAGTGATGTATGCATCGATAGGGAATCGAACCCCAGCTCGCCGTTTCAATGGCAATGAAATTACTTTCTCATTCTATCGGCAGGTGTACCATACACCATCGGTGCTCTCTACACTTGTTAGAATGGTGGATAAATCTGTACTCTTCAACAAACTAAACCGTGAGCGCGCGAGTATCAGTAGGCAATTTAAATTGGCGCGGGCGGTCAAATTAGGAATTCATTTTTTATTCTTTAAAGTTACAGTCGCGAAACCAACAACGATGCATGACAATCCTAGACTCTCACTCCCTGTCTCTTACTCTTACCTTTCAAGTCACTCTTCGTGAAGAAAATTAAAATAAAATAAAATAACCAATTCGACTTTATGCACCGACGGGGAATCGAACCCCAGTCCGCCGTTGTAATGACTGCTCAACGGCTATTACACTCTGCGGCGGGTGTACCATACAACATCGGTGCTTTCTTGTCTCCTGTAAGCCGTCATTATACTACAGTATAAATCCTAATTGAACCCTTCAGTCAAATTATATTGTCGTTTGAATTCAATCAACCTGAATCGTAGCTTGAATTTCAACAGGCTTGATGATTTCTCAATCCATTCCCATTTTCCCGTGGTCTAGCTTTTACTTCACGTTATACTAAACACTCCAGGACCAGCGAAAAAAAACCCTAACGAGGTTCGGCATGCACTAACGGGGAATCGAACCCCAGCTCGCCGTTGTATTGACAACGGCTACGCCATTGTGTCGGCGGGTGTACCATACACCATCGGTGCTCTCTACACTTGTTAGAAAGGTGGATAAATCTGTACTCTTCAACAAACTAAACCGTGAGCGCGTGAGTATCAGCAGGCAATTTAAATTGGCGCAGCCGGGATTCATTCTTTTATTCTGTAAAGTTACAGTCGCGAAACCAGCAGCAATGCAATGACAATCCTAGACTCTCACTCCCCGTCTCTTACTCTTCCCTTTCAAGTCACTCCTCGTCGAAGAAAATAAAATAAAAACATGAACCAATTCGACTTTATGCACCGACGGGGAATCGAACCCCAGCTCGTCGTTGTACTAACCTTCGAAGATTATTTCGTCAGCGTGTGTACCATACACCATCGGTGCTCTCTACACTTGTTAGAATGGTGGATACATTTGCTCTCTTTAACAAACTAAACCGTGAGCATGCCAATCCTAGAATCGTACTCCCTCCTTGTCTGAGCCCTTACTCTTCCAAGTCGAAGAAAAGAATAAAAATATGAGGAATGATCCTTGCCATGCACCGACGGGAAATCGAACCCCAGTCCGCCGTTGTAATGACTGCTCAATGGATACTACATTCTGTCAGCGGGTGTACCATACACCATCAGGGCTTTCTTGTGTCTTGTAAACCGTCATCATACTACTTACAGTATCTAGGACTACATACATTCTTCAGTCAAATTATTGTGATTCGAAGTACTGGCAGCCTGCCAACTTGAATCACGGTTTCAACCTCAACACCTTCGATGATTTCTCAATCCCTTCCCATGGTCTAACTTTTGCTTCACATTATACTAAACTCTCCAGGACCAGCGGGAAAAAAAACTGCACCGATATTCGGTATGCACCAACGGGGAATCGAACCCCGGTCTGCCGTTCTAATGACTGTCAAGTGATCCACCAATTCTGTCGGCGGGTGTACCATACACCATCGGTGCTTTCTGCACTCTTGAGAAAGGTGGATAAATTTGTTCTGATAACCCGCGCCATGAGCATCGGTGTAGGCAATCTAAATTGGCGCAGCCGGTCAAATTCAAATTTGGAATTCAGCCAACACCGCTGCATTGATCCTAGAATCGTACTCCCACCTTGTCTGAGCCCTTACTCTTCCAGGTCACTCTTCGTTGAAGAAAAGAATAAAAACATCAAGAAGGATCCTTGGCATGCACCGACGGAGGAACCCCAGTCCGCCGTTGTAATGACAGTATGATGATTGCTACCCCATTGTGTCAGCGTGTGTTCCATACACCACGGTGCTCTCTTGTGGCCTGTAAGCCATCATCATGAGTACCTAAATCTGCAGTCAAATTATTGTCGTTCGAGTTTAGCCAACTTGGCTTGAATTTCAACAGGCTGGATGATTTCTCAACCCATTCCCATTTTCCCGTGGCCTAGCTTTTACTTCACATTATAATCAAGCTCTCCAGGACCAGCGAAAAAAAACCCTAACGAGGTTCGGCATGCACCAACGAGGAATCGAACCCCGGTCTGCCGTTGACTACTATCTCTTTCATAGTATCCGCGGGTGTACCATACACAATCGGTGCTTTCTGCAATCGTTAGAATGGTGGATGAATTTGTTCTTTTTAACAAACTCAATCGTGAGCGCGTGAGTATTAGCAGGCAATTTAAATTGGCGCAGCCGGGATTCATTCTTTTATTGTGTAAAGTTACAATCCCGAAACCAACTCACAATCCTAGAATCCTACTCCCCGTCTCTTACTCTTCCCTCTCAAGTCACTCTTCGTCGAAGAAGATAAAATAAAAACATGAACCAATTCGACTTTATGCACCGACGGGGAATCGAACCCAGCCTGCCGTTGTAAGGAGTATCTCTGCTCATATTGTATCGGCGGGTGTACCATACACCACGGTGCTTTCTTGTCTCCTGTAAGCCGTCATCATACTACAGTATAAATCCTACCTAAATCCTTCAGGTCAATTATATTGTCGTTTGAATTCAATGAACTTGAATCGTAGCTTTCAACAGGCTTGATGATTTCTCGATCCTTTCCCATTTTCCCGTGGCCTAGCTTTTACTTCACATTATAATCAAGCTCTCCAGGACCAGCGAAAAAAAACCCTAACGAGGTTCGGCATGCACCAACGAGGAATCGAACCCCGGTCTGCCGTTGACTACTATCTCTTTCATAGTATCCGCGGGTGTACCATACACAATCGGTGCTTTCTGCAATCGTTAGAATGGCGGATAAATTTGTTCTTTTTAACAAACTAAACCATGAGCGCGCGAGTATTAGCAGGCAATTTAAATTGGCGCAGCCGGAATTCATTCTTTTATTCTGTAAAGTTACAGTCGCGAAACCAACAACGAATGCATGACAATCCTAGACTTCTACTTCCTGAGCTCTTACTCTTCCCTTTCAAGTCACTCTTCGTCGAAGAAAATAAAATAAAAACACGAACCAATTCAACTTTATGCACCGACGGGGAATCGAACCCCAGCTCGCCGTTATATACTCGTGATCTTTGACGACTATTTCGTCAGCGTGTGTACCATACACCATCGGCACTTTCATGTCTCCTGTAAGTCGTCATTATACCTGTAAGCTGTCATTATACTACAGGTAAATCCTACTTAAACCCTTCAATTAAATTATTGTCGTTCGATTCGAATTCAGCCGGCCAACTTGAATCATGGTTTCAACACGCTTGATTATTTCTCGATTCCTTCCGATGGCCTAGTTCTATTCTTTGAATATTAATTACATTAGCTCTTCAGGACCAGCGGGAAAAAAAGCCAAATGTTCAAGGCACTATGCATCAACGGGGAATCGAACCCCAGCTCGCCGTTGTAATGACAGTATGATGATTGCTACACCATTGTGTCAGCGTGTATTCCATACACCACGGTGCTCTCTTGTGGCCTGTAAGCCATCATCATGAGTGTAAATCCTACCTAAATCTGCAGTCAAATTATTGTCGTTCGAGTTTAGCCAACTTGGCTTGAATTTCAACAGGCTGGATGATTTCTCAACCCATTCCCATTTTCCCGTGGCCTAGCTTTTACTTCACATTATACTAAACTCTCCAGGACCAGCGAAAAAAAAACCCTAACGAGGTTCCGCATGCACCAACGGGGAATCGAACCCCGGTCCGCCGTTGTAATAACATTATGACAATTTCTTCTGATTCTGTCGGTGGGTGTGCCATACACCATCGGTGCTTTCTGCACTCTTTAGAATGGTGGATACATTTGCTATCTTTAACTAAACCGTGAGCATGCTAATCCTAGAATCGTACTCCTTCCTTGTCTGAGCCCTTACTCTTCCAAGTCGAAGAAAAGAATAAAAATATGAGGAATGTTCCTGGCCATGCACCGACGGGGAATCGAACCCCAGTCCGCCGTTGTAATGACTGCTCAATGGATACTACATTCTGTCAGCGGGTGTACCATACACCATCAGGGCTTTCTTGTGTTTTGTAAACCGTCATCATACTACTTACAGTATCTAGGACTACATACTACTTACCTATATTCTTCAGTCAAATTATTGTGATTCGAAGTACTGGCAGCCAGCCAACTTGAATTACGGTTTCAACCTCAACACCTTCGATGATTTCTCAATCCCTTCCCATGGTCTAACTTTTGCTTCACATTATACTAAACTCTCCAGGACAAGCAGGAAAAAAACTGCAACGATATTCGGTATGCACCAACAGGGAATCGAACCCCAGCTCGCCGTTCTAATGACTGTCGGCGACCACCGCATTCTGTCGGCGGGTGTACCATACACAATCGGTGCTTTTTGCACTCCTTAGAATGGTGGATGAATTCGGTTTCACTGAGGCAATTTAAATTGGCACAGCCAGTGAAATTTGGAATTCAACCAACGGCAAACAATCCTAGACTCTCACTCCCTGTCTCTTACTCTTCCCTCTCAAGTCACTCTTCGTGAAGAAAATAAAAATAAAATAAAAACATGAAGTTTATGCACCGACGGGGAATCGACCCAGTCCGCCGTTGTCATTAGCTTCAGGACCATTTTCTCAGCGTGTGTACCATACACCACGGTGCTTTCTTGGCTCCTGTAAGTCGTCATTATACTACAGTGCAAATCCTTTGGTCAAATTATTGTCATTCAAATTCAGCTAGCCAACTTGAATCACAGTTTCAACTTCAACACCTTTGATGATTTCTCAATCCTTCCCATGGTCTAGCTCTTACTTCACGTTATACTAAACTGTCCAGGACCAGCGAAAAAAAAAGCCATAACGAGGTTCGGCATGCACCAACGGGGAATCGAACCCCGGTCCGCCGTTGTAATAACATTATGACAATTTCTCCTGATTCTGTCGGTGGGTGTGCTATACACCATCGGTGCTTTCTGCACTCGTTAGAATGGTGGATAAATTTGTTCTTTTTAAAAAACTAAACCGTGAGCGCGTGAGTATCAGCAGGCAATTTAAATTGGCGCAGGCGGTCAAATCAGGAATTCATTTTTTATTCCTTAAAGTCAAGTCGCACAACCAACAGCAATGCAATGAAAATCCTAGATTCTCACTCCCCGTCTCTTACTCTTCCCTTTCAAGTCGCTCTTCGTCGGAGAAAATAAAATAAAGACATGAACCAATTCAACCTTACGCACCGACGGGGAATCGAACCCCAGCTTGCCGTTGTAAGTAGTATCTTTGCTCACATTGTATCGGCGCGTGTACCATACACCATCGGTGCGCTCTACACTTGTTAGAATGGTGGATACATTTGCTCTCTTCAACAAACTAAACCGTGAGCATGCTAATCCTAGAATCGTACTCCCTCCTTGTCTGAGCCCTTACTCTTCCAAGTCGAAGAAAATAATAAAAATATGAGGAATGATCCTTGCCATGCACCGACGGGGAATCGAACCCCAGTCCGCCGTTGACATGCCATTGTGGCCCATCTCCGTCATGGTATCGGCGGGTGTGCCACACACCATCGGTGCTTTCTTGTCTGCTGTGGGCTGTCATCGTACTACAGTGTAAATCCTAACTAAATCAGTCAAATTATTGTTGTTCAAATTCAGCCAACTTGAATCATGGTCACGGTTTCAACCAGCTTGATGATTTCTCGATCCCTCCTACTCCCAAGCTCTACTTCTCTGAATATTAATTGCATTATAATAAGCTCTCTAGGAGCAGGGCCAAAAAAAAAAAAACACCAAAGACATTCGCATTATGCACTGACGGGGAATCGAACCCCAGCTTGCCGTTGTAATGACTGCTCAACGGATACTACATTCTGCGGCAGGTGTACCATACACCATCGGCGCTTTCTTGTCTCCTGTAAGCCGTCACCATATTACAGATGTAGGAGTGTAAATCCTATTTGAACCCTTCGGCCCAATTATTGTCTTTCGAATTCAGCCAACTTGGCTTGAATTTCAACACACTTGATTATTTCTCGATCCCTCCTACTCCCAAGCTCTACTTCTCTGAATATCAATTGCATTATAATAAGATCTCCGGACCAGGGAAGAAAAACAAAAGATCTCCCTGGATGGCACTGGACCATGCACTGACGAGGAATCGAACCCGGTCCGCCGTTGTAATGACAGTGTGATGAATCTGTCAGCGGGTGTACCATACACGACCGGTGCTTTCTGCACTCATTAGAGCAGTGCATAAATTCGTGCCCTTCAACAAAACCACCGTGAACATCATGATCAGTGCAAGCGATTTAAATTGGAATTCAACCAACAGCGATGCATCACAATCCTAGACTCCTACTCCCCGCCCCACCTGAGATTGCTCTTCCCTTCCAAGTCACTCCTCACTGAGCAAAGAACAACAAAAAAAAAAGAGCAAATTCTCAGAAAAGAAGTTGCTCACAGGGGGAAAAAATCGGATGAACCATGGAAGCTTGCATGAACCGGTGAGATTTAAGCCATTTGAGATCGTTGCATTTCGGGCCGTTCAATTACCTCAAGAGCCCAGCCGGAACTATGTATAAAGTGTCGGAGAACATTGGAGACCAAGGTGTCCTAGGCCGGTTTTATTGTCCGTCAAACTCAGACTCGTCGTAGTCTCGTCGTCCGATTTGCCATATTTTTTATTTTTAGAAGCGCGGATTTCGTTAGTCTCCGTCTTTCATTCCTTTTCTTCTGATTCTTTGCAAGTTCACCGTTCGAGTTGTCGAGCGCGTCACTATTGTGCTCATTCTCGCAAGACTCCGAGTCGATTGCTGCCACTGCAGGGGTTAGATTTCAGAGTCTTCTTCGAGGGCATGGAGGAAGATCGTCTTGAACGAGCGGGTACGTTTCAGGTAGATGGAGAAACGACAACTCGAAGGAATCGTAGATTGATTGAGGAAGCGGAAGTTTAGGATCAGCTCGCACGGAGAAATCAAAACGCGTTCACGTGACACCACGAGAACGTGACGCGACGCGTACCTCGAGAGTTGGCTGAAGCCCAGAGGGCCTGGAGAAGGAAGCCGTCCATTATAACAGTCGAATTAACGGTTTAATTGTATTATTTACAGCGCGTGGCAAATTCCAGAAAATTACGGCGTACAACTGCAGATCTTGAGCTCCTTCGGGGCAAATTAAAAGCAGCACGGTGCTATTGTGGCAACTTTAGGTTGCGTCGGTCGCTAAACGTTATTCTATAATACAAGCTACATGGAATAAATTATAATAGTCTCAAAGACGCCCGTGTCCAAGTTATCCTACAGAACCCGGGGGCCCTTACCCTGTGAGCTCACTGGGGCGAAGTCCAGTGATTCTTCTACAACTTTGTCAACCTGGATCTCGTTGGCCGTTGTCCCGCTTCGTGATCCCGCCTCTCCCCGCTGGACCGATAGCGGAATGGACCGAGAAACCCGAGACATAATAATCTCGGAGGTGGTAATTATGCGTCGATGGAAGCCGAATTTAGTGTTTCGGAAGACGTGGCAAGCCATGGCGTTTGTCACCATAACATTGCACACGGTGAACATCACTCGGTACGTTGGTGCGACCCGGTTGTTGTAGAACATTACGACAGAGAGAGTGTTGGCCGTGACGGTAATACTGTTCAAGTTGAAGAGGATTAGCAGCTCCTCAGATTATAAGTATATGGAGCCGGAACGTACAGATAATACAGTTGACCGTCGTGGAGGAGTGCCCTGGAGAATTGGGGAAGGTATTCTCCGGTGATGAAGGTCCTGATATTTCCCCCGAGAGAATGAGTACTAATAGTAGCATAGGAATTCTGGAACAATCGCCACGAAATGGCCAGGAAAACCGTTGTGTCATGAATCAGTGGAGTTATGCCGACTGCCCCGGCGTACGGCTTGACGCCGACATTCAAGCAGTATTTAGTGGGGCCAATATTCCTAGCTGTTATCGCGGTAGGAATTGTGGCGGCAGATCCTGCTACGCTGAGCCACAGTAAAAAGAAGAATAGGACCAGGTATGGGTTTTTGTTGAAGATGGCGCGTGCTCGGAGGAAGAACAGTAAACACGTTGATGGTACAGCAATGGCGAGACAAACTTCGACCATTGTTTGTGCGACGGAGCAGTGATTGAAAGGGTAGGCTGGAAAATTTATCGTGAATCTCTGCCGATGCTATCTGGAGGCTTAGAGCATACTTTCGAACATAGCACTCAAGAGAATGAAAAGGAGAGTCCAAAATCTAACCGCACTTATTAGCATTGCGACGGTTCAGATTGGTTGGGTTTCGTACCTGGAGAAGAAGTATACCGCAGTCGACAATCCCACCCGATGTTCAGATACAAGTGTGTAGTCATTGAAGGCATTGGATAGAATATCCCAAATATATGCCTAAAGTAAAATGAATTTATTGACGACGACGAATTGGACGGAACTTGCCCCAAGTGTACCGATAAGGATGAAGCTCCCGATTTGAGTCTGATACGCAATATCCGGGGGCAAGAGCGCGTATGGTGTGAGGGGGTTAGGGATTGCTGTGAGGTTTAGGGACGGCATGGTGGGCTGGGACTCGGTCGGTGCCACTGGGACATTGAGACTCGGTGCATACTTATGAGATGCCGGGAGAGGTAGACACGGTTGTCAGCTTTTATCCCACGACGTTTCCGTATGAGTTCGATGCGCATGGTTGTAAGATATTCCTATTGGTCGAAGTAATAATCTGATCCCACACAAAGTAACCGATGAGATCAAGTGCCAGGTGGGTATGACGCGTATAAGTAGTACTATTTATGAATTATTATTCAGATGAGCAACCTCCATCGCGGCGGCGCCACAATCGTTGATGTTCAACTTGTTGACAGAAATCCTCAAAAATCTCGCGGATAATATAGTCACTCACCTTGGCTATTCCGTCGCGGGTCAACTTGTCGATTTAGAATGAATTTTCATCAGAAGAAAATTGAAATTGGCTAGTTACACAGTGCTGCACTGTAGCTGGCAGTTGAACTCTGGTTGAACTTGGATTGCACGTGAGCGGAGCTATCCGGGATGCCAGCATCAGTCTCGCTTAAGAACCTCCCTCTCTTTCTGAGTTGATGAATGCGCCCGGCATTTGTTCGGTGTGTATTGTCTTCATCTCCGACACCCAACGGAATCCTGAATTTCCCGGGACCATGCTGGTAGCGACGACGACCCAAATGACTAGTCTCTTATCTTCCGGGTTCTCACTCGTAACCTCGTTCTGAAGCAATCGACCATTATTTGCCCTCATCTTGGAGCTTCCCGGGCAGTCGCGCCCAGCGGATACGCTGGTCGTGGATCCCTCTCCCAGATGTATCCAAGGCCAAGGCACTTCCTTTTGCCACGATAATGCGGGGTAAAAAACCTCTTTTGTCCTTTATGCACCTACATCTACGTCCCACCTTCGTCGGATAACATAGCCCGGGCGTATGCGACTTCAAATCTACCATCCAGTCCTTTGCGCCGACTGCCGGAGGAGATTTAACGTGACGTCCTCGAGGACAGCGACTTGTGGACATGGATGCGGTGTCACGAGGAAAAGGCTTCATAACCCTTCTATCTCCGTCTGCCTCCTAAGTGCGCCTCCCACGCTTGCATCTTCAATTTCTCGTCTCCATAGGCAGCTTATCTCTGCCGTACTCGTCCTGACCCCATGAATCCTCCCTGTTCCTTCAATGACGGCTATTGGTAACACCCTCTACCGGCCCTTGTCCGACGCCTTCGACGCCTTCGATGGCGCGACGGCGACGGCGGATTATCGCCCCTGAAAGCTATCCATTAAGGGAAGGGTTATTGGCCATGCTTAGTTTCCCGAGCAGCGGAGAGTGGGTGGTCGCGTTTCTACAGCGTATATCTATACCATGCTCCAGATCCACCTCCGATCCCGCCTTTACATTCAATGCAAGCAGTAGCCGGATTCGGGCTTGTCTAACCTGCGCACTCTGTTGCTGAAGGCTTGCGTCTTCACCTTTCCTCTGGCTATGAACACATATGTATTGCGTCGCTGAGGCCGATGCACCCAACGGACGGCTCGAACGGGTACGACACGAATATGCGCACGATTTCCGGTCCAATATTTAACACCCGCCGCCAAGCGGCCAATGCGGGTGCCGGACTCGAGGACGGGCGAAGAGATGGCGCGAGCGCCCAGCGGCCAGCGCCTGCCCCGGCCTCGCTATGGGGCTGTATAATCTACGTCCCTGCCGCAATGCCAGGTGCAGACCGCAGGCACAGACCTCCTCGCGGCTCCCCTCGCCCTTATGCACTCCACTCCCGCGAGGAGCGCGTCTCTTCGGTGCTCGCCGCTCGTAAGTATGGCTTTGCCGGTATCTATGACAGAGGGGTAACGTATACCTTCCGATACAGGGTAGAACGATACGGAAGTGGCACGTACACACCACTTCTCGTGTATGCTTCGCCAATTCCGCCCCGCTGCCGATTATCCACGTTCCCAACGCAATAGGTGCATAGTTTTTCAAGGGCTAGCTCTCGCAGGCTCTCGCCAGCACCCGGGTCTCCATCCATTCCCAAGCGGATCCATGTGCATGTGCGCGTGAGTTCGTACGTGGTGTAATTCGGTCGCGACCTACTGGCGAAAATAACTTCTGCATATGATAAGCACAAGTATATCCACTCCCATGCACGGGGGAGCTTCGAGCGACGCCAGGACCGGACGTTGCCAACAGGGTCGTGTGTTGGTCACTCTCAGCTTCGCGCACAGTGCACATGGAGGCAACGATGGACTGGCACTGCTTTGGGCCTCTGGTCAAATACTTCCGTGCTCTTGTATTTATTACTGAATGAATCAATAGGTGCTTGTGTTGAATTTTGCTGGGTTCCAAAGATGATCCAGAACTCCAAAGGCTGAAAAGGACTTCCA